GGCTCCAGGTGATTCTTTTTTCTTGGTGGAACTGGGGACTGAACTCAGGCCCTTGCGCTTATTCTACTGAGCTATCTCTGAGGCTCCAGGTGATTCTTGTGCAGGCTAAAAATTGGAGCTCCAGACTCTAAAGAGGCACTGTCTTACTACGTACTCTAGCATGAACTTACTTAGGCAGCCCAAGAGGCCTTGAACTCATAGTGACCCTCCTGCGTCAGCCTCCCAAGTGCCAGTACTACAGGTGTGAACTACCATATGTCCGACTTACTTTTTGAAATCTGGTTGAGATGCTGATATTGTTCTCTGAAAGCAGTGATGGGGAACCTTTTGGAGACCAAGTGCCAGACTGCAACCCAAAGCCACTTATTTATTGCAAAGTGCCAACACTGCAATTAACCCTGGATACTGAGTTTCAATTTAGAAAAGATTAATCAGGACTGATGTGGCATGTGGTTCCAGGATCGAGCTGTGGTCCCTGTGCCTGCCTATGAGGCGCGTTAGTTGGGTGAGCTATCTCGCCAGCTCAACAGCTGCTATCTTAAAAGAACATACTAACACACATGCTGTATGTTTGCTGTCACTGTCCTAGCACCTACATTTACCTTACTATGTGGGTATAATAACTGAGGGGATAAAAAGGCCTTGGGTTCAATCTCAGTGCCTCTTCCAAAACAAAACAAGGCTCAGGAGATAGCTCAGAGGCATAAGAGCCTGGTTGGCAAGCACAAAGTCCTGAGTTTGATTCCCTGGTACCAAAAAACAAACAAACAAAAAATTCCAAAGAAAAAACAAAACAGAATATACTTTAATCAAATGTTAACATGTTTTCTGTATTTGCAATTATACCTCTTGGAAAAAAAAACCCAGTAACTTTTTCAATAGCTTTTTTATTATGAAATATAAAATATTTTAAAATATTAAAAAATTTACATTAAAAATTCAGTAGTCTGTGTAAGAAAGCACCACATTAAAGATACATTCATAACAATCTAAAATGCCTATGATAAAATGACCTAAAATGATTTAGTAGTAATACAGTATTAGCAAATCATACAATTCACAAACTTTTCCTAACAACAGATCAAAATCAGGGGTCTCAAACTTCGGTATCTTCAATGTTGAGTAGAAAAGACAAAGTAGTGAGGCCATCTGATGATACTAGTGGGAGTCCAGGGGAAAACCTGGGAATTCATGTGCAGCCTACAAACTTGTCCACTTTTTTCATTTTATGAGGTAAGATCTTACTATGTGGTTCAGACTGGCCTTGAACTCACAGCAATCCTCCTGCCTTTGCTCTGGAGTGCTAGGATTACAGACATGTGCCATCATACCCAGCACGATTTTTCAAATTGGAACTTGTTTTTGAGACAGGGGTTTCCCTATGTAGTTCAGGCTGACCGCAAACTTGCCATGATTTTCTTGCCTCAGGCCCCAAAATGCAGGCCTTACAGGCCTGTGCCACTACACCTGGCTAAACATACCTTTCAAACATTAAATATGCCATGTAAAACATCAATGAGTCAAACTACCTTTGTACACTACCAATTTATAACTCTGGTCTAACTTCCTTTTTAGCATGTTCATGTACCTAATTCTCCAAATGGTACAAACACTGCAGCTGGCACTTCTATGGAAATACATATTCTCAATATACATATATTTGTTTTTGTGTATATGTTATCTCAGAATACTTAAGCTACTATTTTAGGGGAACTAGATTGATTTATTGATTGACTAAAACGGGGTCTATGTAGTTTAGGATGGTCTGAAACTCACTTGGAAGTCCAGGCTGGCCTTCAACTCTCAAAATCCACTTGTCCCGAACCAGCGGGTCACTCCTGCTTTAGCCTCCTGAGTGCTGAGATTACAGGTATGTGACATGGTTCCAAGGAGAAGTAGATTTTTAAATTTTCAATTTAACAATTTAGGTAGTTTTATGAATATATTCTTTTTTTTGAGATAGGCTCTCACTTTTTTAGTGCAGGCTGGCTTTGAACTTAATATATAGCCAAGGTTGATCTTAAATTTGTAAAGATCTTCCTGCCTCAGCCTCTCAAGTACTGGGATTTCAGGCATGTGCTAACATGCTTGGTTTGAGAATATATTCTTTTAATTTTTTTTTTTATTTTAACATTTATTGTGTGTGTGTGTGTGTGTGTGTGTGTGTGTGTGTGTGGCCAGCTCAGCCCACCAGGGGGCGCGGCTGGCTGGCATGTGGTGCTGGAGGATTGAACCGTGGTCCCTGTGCCTTGCCACGCTTGTTCCAAGTAGGTGCTTTAGACCACTGAGCCATCTCTCCAGCCCTGAGAATATATTCTTAAAACATCAGGGTAAGAGATGACATACTGACTACATGTAGCAGTGCAGAGTGCATGTCCATAATCCTATCTACTTGGAGGCTAAGACTGAAGGAAAGCAAATCAAGGCCAGTCTGGGCAACATAGTATGACTCTTTGCCTCAAAATTACAATTAAGAAAATAAAAAGGGTTGAGATCAATCCTTGCTATTGAAAAAGAAAAATAAAAATACTATTTCACATTTGGAAAAATTAGTTATTAAAATTATAGGGGATGGGCTGGGAAGATAGCTCTGTGGCATAAGCGCCCTGCCTGGCAAGTGCAAGGTCCTGAGTTCAATCCCCAGTATGAAAAAAAAAACTCTATATTTCTATCCATATATCTGTATCTATATATGGCCAGGTGTGGTAAGACAGGAGTGGACAGGTATGGTCAGGCTGAAGCAGGAGGATCGCCATGAGTTCAGGATGAGCCTGAACTACAGAGGAGTTTAAAGACAGCCTGAATTATATAGCGAGAGCCTGTCTCAAAAAACAAAAATGAACACTGTATTGAAATTTCATTCTTTTATTTTTTTTTGGCAGAACCAAGGATTGAACTCAGACCCTTGTGCTTGCCAGGCAAGTGCTTATTCTACTAAGCCATCTCCCTGGCTCCTGAAATTTAATTCTTTTACCAACAGAAAACCACACACCAGGGCCAGCCAGATAGCTCACTGGACTAAAGCGCAGCTTAGGCAGAGTGCAGCGGCCAGGTCACCAGCGTGGCATGCCAGGCCCCGCCCCCAGGGTGTGCTGAGACAGCAACTGATCCCAGTGATTGGGAGGCTGAAAACAGGAGGAACACTACAAGTCTGATCTACGTAGTGAGAACCTGTCGACCTTGTACTAAATACATTAGAAAAAGAAAAGAAAACGACACACCATAATACGTTATTGTTTAGTAAGAAATGTTTATGTAAAAAAAAGAAACTAGCTGGATTTGGTGGCACATACCTGTGATTCCAGCACTTGGGAGGCTGAGGCAGGAGGATCATTGTGAGTTTCAGACTAGCCCAGGGTACAGAATGAGCTCAAGACCAGCCTGAACTGTATAGCAAGACCCTGTCTCAAAATGACAAAAAAAGAAAGAAACTATTGATTTGCCTAATCATTGTGCAGCTGGGTATGGTGGTTCATGCCTGTAATCCCAGCAATTGGGAGGCTGAGACAGATGACGATCATCTGAGTTTGAGGCTAGCCTGAGCTATATAAGTGAATTCAATCCCAGCCAGAACTACATAGTGAGACCCTGTCTTAAAAAAAACAAACAAAAACAAAAAAACTGAAAAGAGAATTTAGTTATTAAAGTCATTATTCAGAAAACATTCAATCATATCTCACTATATGCATAACATAAAGTCATTCTAATTCAGTTGACAGTTAAGTTTTATCTTTGATATTTTGTGAAAGAACTTTCATGGATTTTATACTTGCAGTTAAAGTGTCTTCTGCACATGTAGCACTGTTTTAGTTCTAAAGCTGTTGTGTGTTGGTTTGTTATAGCATGGCAGTTTTAATGAAGTTACTATTTTCTGGGTCATTAATGACATCACATTAATAATTTAATTTTTTCTTGAGACAGGATCTTGATATGTAATTTAGGCTTGCCTTACACTCATAGCAATCTTCCTGCCTTAGCCTCCTGAGTGGTGAGATTACAGGCATGTACCACCATGCCCAGCTAATTTCAAGTGGTTATAGAAATTAAGATGGCATTAAAGTTAACAAAGTTTTTAAAAAGGCTTTGGAGGCACTTTATAACTCTTTCATCCTTAGTAGACCAAAACCTATATATTATAAAATAATTCATGGACAAAGCAGATTAAAAAAAAGAAAACCTCAAATACTTATTCCAAACCTCTACACAATACCTAAAAAAATTTCTTTAACAGTTTAGCTCTCAACTTGAGTTTAACAGAAAAAGAAAGCACTAAGAACTGGGTATAGTAGCACACCCATATATTCCAAGCACTTGGGAGGCTGAGGGAGGATCAGAACTGTGAGGCCAGCCCAGAGAACACAGAGACCTTACTTTTTTTTTTTTTTTTTTGTGGAACCAGTGATTGAACTCAGGCCCTTGCGCTTGCCAGGGAAGTGCTTATTCTACTAAACCATCTCCCGGCCCCTGAGACTTTATCTCAGAAAAACAACAAAACATGAAAAAGCCTCCCCAAAACAAAGCACCATATTTAGCCATATAATCCCCCATTTTAAAAAGTTACAGGGAGTATATAAAACTTTTAAGTTTTTCTATAGAAAGTCTGTATGAGACAATTCAATTTTTCTCCTTCTTGTTTTTTTGAAACAGGTCTTGCTTTGTAGTTCATGGTGGCCTTGAACTCACTGGGATCCTCCTGCCTTAGGCCTCTCAAAAGCTAGGATTACAGGTGTGTACCACCATACCAGGCTGAGGAGTCAAGTCCATATGTGACATTCTGAAACTAAAAAGGCAAAGCTGTTGAGTTCTTGAGCTGAAGTCAGATGCTTGGCAAACTGCAGAGTAAGTACACAGGAAGATATCAGGCACAGAACCATCAGTCAGTGCAATGGGTCTTCTATTATTTCCATTTTTCATGACTTGAAAATTTTCAAGTAGGAAAAATGTTTGGCATTTTTAGAACTCTAATCATTAGTAAAAATTTAAAGTTTGTTTTTGTCTAACTGATTTTATCTATAGTTCAACATTCATTTTAATTACTAAAAGTACTTATCTACAAAGCTGTCAGCATGTTTAGAATACAAACTTAACAGACATTTTACACATAAGTAATTCTACAGCAGAAAATTAACTACAATTGAAAACAAGACTATAAATTCACCATGCATCCCCCCTCCCAAATACCTATATTTCTCACAAGTTTGCAGAAACGTCATAAGGGTATACACAGTACAGGCTGATATATTACAATGTTCTTTGTTTTAGAAATTCCATTAAAAACCAAGAGGGTTTATTCTATGAATAAAATTATTTTAAATAAATTACTCAATTTAAAATGTTTTCATGAATATAATAACAGACTAGATATTGAATAATGGGATTCCCACAAAATAGCAAAATACTTCAAATTATTTAATTGAAATATTGTTTTGAAAGTATTGAAGTGTATTTAAAGTTTATAACTGATGTGTAACACTGAATTACAGATTACACTGGTAGAAATGAGATCTATAATGCTGTTTGCTGGTTCTTCACATCATCACAGGATGAAAACTCCTTTTTTCTTCTTTCCTTTTTTCTTTCTTTTTTTTTTTTTTTTTCTTTTTGTTACCAGGGATTGACTCAGGACCTTGCACTTGTCAGGCAGGTGCATATGCCACTGAGCTATCTCCCTAGTCCAAAAATTCCTTTTCTAAGAAACACGATGGCTGCTCCTGGCTTTACTGTAATACAGCAATCCTGTCAGTTAGCGTATTTATGAAGGAAGCGTTCAAATGCATCATAGATGGCTTGTCTAAAATTAAAGATGAATGACAAATTGTTAGTAGTTAGCATTAGGAGTGGAAGACAGGCAGCACCTTTATTATATTTCCAAAATAACGTGACCTTTAAACCAACCTTCTGTCCAGGATACAAAAAGGGCAAAAATGTTGGGGACTGGATCCCTGTAACCTCACATCACTACTACTGGAAAACCTGAAATATATTTCAACTGACAATGGACGCAGGAGTACATTTTCTTTTTATGTAAGAAACATACAGGCACATACACAAATAACAAAAGAAATAACTGATTACTTCTGTCATTTAATTGAAAATTAATGTAACTTTATGCGTGTTTTTGAAACGGGGTCCTTGCTATGCAGTACAGGCTGGCCTTGAGCTCACTTTGTAGCCTAGGCTGGTCTGGATCCTCCTGCCTCAACCTCCCAAGTGCTGGGATTATAGGCATGTACCTCCATGATGAGCTGATAAATATATTTCAATGATACCCCTTTATGATCAAGGGTTGATAGAAGTAAAATTTTGGAGGACATCAGAAAATTAGTTATAAAAGTTTTCATAAATTCTAACTGTAGTGGAGTTGTAAAGCACAGTGGTGCATGCCAGTCATTCCAGGTGTTTGGGAGGCTGAGGCAGGAGGGTATTAAGTTCAAAGCTAGCCTATACAACTTTGGAAGACCTTGTCGCAAAAACAAAATATAGATAGGTAGATAGACAGACAGACAGACAGTCAGTCAGTCAGACAGATAGACAGACAGGGCTGGGAAGTAGCTCAGTGCTGTCTGGGTTTCCCTTAAGTACTGCAAACAGAATAAAAAAAGGCCTAGAGCTATAGCTCAGTTTAAGATCCTGGGTTCAGTCCCTAGTGCCACAAAAAAAGATGAATGGAAAACAGTGCAGTCAATGAGAATACTCAAAGTCATTAATAATAAATCAATATTTTACTTCTCATTAAAATTCACTATTTACTTGCTAACTAACATTGCTATGCTACCTGACAGATGCTAGGGTCATTCTGAGAAAACATCAGGGTGGAGTGAAAAATCTACCCATGCATCAAAGCAACTTCTACAAACCAGTGTTCCTCTACGCACCCTAAAGTACCTGGCCATTAGTGCTTAAAGAGGGTAAAACCACCTGGTAAAACAAGCCTAGGATAGCCTACATCCCTGATTTTCTAGAAGAAAGAGAGGACAAGGTAGGAAAAGAAGGAAAATACTTCACTGTGAGATTTGTAGAAGGCAAAAAGAAAATAAAATGACTAAAACATGACATAAAAATGCCTAATTTTTCCTTCTTGTTGAGGGAAAGAAAACCAAATACCTGATTAGACAAATAATCTTACCTGAAGATCCCTTGTTTAAAAAGGTAAGCACTAATGTGACCCCCTTCTAGATAGCGGATTTCACAACCGGGCCAAATTTCTTGTAGACTTCGAACTCCTGTTCGTGGAATATAGGCATCTTCCTTGGCTTGCACCACTATAATGAGGCTTGGGTCAACTGGAACTAAGGATGGGGTTTTTACACATTAAAAAGGTCTAAGATTTTAGACAAATGCAATAAATCATATCAGAAAATACACCACACAATACTGTGCTATTAAATGAAAATTTGTCAAACTTAAGTATTAAATATACCATATTATCATAATATTCTTTTTTTTTGGGGGGGGCAGAACTGGGGATTGAACTCAGGCCCTTGCGCTTGCCAGGGAAGCAAGCACTTATTCCACTGAGCCATCTCCCTGGCCCCCTATAATATTCATTCTTAAAATAACTATTCTAAAGATACAAGATTCAGTGATTTTTACTTAGCATTGCTGTTTTTTAATGCTGAGGACTGAGCCCAGGGGTTTGTGCGTCCTGAATGTACACTCTGTCACTAAGCTACACCCTACACCTCAACCCCTCCCATGTATTTTTTTTTTTCTTTTTTCTTCTTCTCTCCCATGTATTTTTAAATGAGTAAGATGGTTAGGCATAGTAGTGCCCACATATAATCCCAGCACTCAGCAGGCTGAGGCAGGACTGCTGAGAGGTCAAGGCCAGCCTTGACTATATAGCAACACCTTGTCTCAAAAACAAGAAAAAAGATGGCATAGGAATGCTTTCATGGATAAAATATGATACATTTAAATGACTATCCTGGAGAACATATTCTGGACCTAACAAAAAATATGCCCTCTAAAACATGAAATTATTTTGAAAAGCATCTTTAAAATATTTCACAAATATTTACACAATGGCAAATATTCTCAATTACATAGAAAAATTAGTACCTGAGAAATTTGCTACATGAGTACATTCATCCATGACTCCTTTCATAAATATTAAAGATTCTTTTTGAAGATTGTTTCTTCTTTGTTCTTGGCTAAGGACCTGGTATGACTGAGGGCGGTAACTTGTGTAATTACTTTTGTTGGTTGCAAGTGTTTGATTCAGGCAGTCTAGCTTAGAGGCATCTTGCAGTAAGAGTCCTTCTGATGTCGCACTGATAGATGTTTTACTAGAAGTTTGGCACTCAGCAGGTTGTTGGGACACAACCTGGTTTGTCATATCTAAATTTAAACTCCTGGAAACCAACTTGTCTGCACTGCTAGGGAAGCGTTTCACAAACTCTTGTCCCATTTTGAAAGAATCTGTCTGAATAAATGAAAGAAAAAGACCATGTAATGTAAAACAGAACTTTATTAAACAACTTTTTAAAAACAAAACAATAAATACTCCTCAGTGGATAAACAAAATACCTTACACACACACACACACACACACACACACACACACACACAGTATTACTGTAAAAAGGAATTTTTTAATTGAAATTTTAAATTCCTTTTTAAGACACACAGCATAACAAAGATGAACTTTGAAGAGTATTATGCTATATGAATAAACCAAACTAATAAGGCAAATAATGCCACTTGTGATGGTGCATGCCAGAAATCCCAACACCTGGGAGAATTGGTAGGGAGACCACAAGTTTGAGGCCAGCCTGGGCCACATAGCAAGTTCAAGGCTTGTTTCAGACAAAGCAAAAAAGAAGACAAACATTGTATGATTCTACTCATGTGAGGTCTCCACAGTAGTGAATTTCATAGAAGATCTGGTTGTCAGGGGCTGGGACAATGGGGGGAATGGGGAGTTATCCTTCAGTTGATAGATTTAGTTTGAGGACATGAAAAAGTTCTTGAGAGGGATGATGGTGATGGCTGCACAAAGCTGTGGATATACCCAGTGTTACTGGACACTTACAAGTGGCCCAAAAGGCAAATTTTATGTTGTATAGATTTACCATGATTTTTAAAAGGAGTAAAGCTGTCAAAATTTAAAGGAGAATTAAAGATAAAAGACATGTATTTATTGCTGAATGTTTCCTATACAACAATAGGGTAGTACAGTCTGTGTCATGTTTTACTGTGAGAGTTTGAAATCCCATAATAAGTCTTCACCTTAGAACTTCTATTTTTTTTTTTTGGCAGAACCAGGGATTGAACTCAGACTCTTGTGCTTCCAGGTAAGCGCTTATTCTACTGAGCTATCTCCCCAGCCCCTAGAGTCTTATGAATGTATACTGGAAGTAAATTGTATGCTCACAGAGATACCAGCTACCTAATGTTCAACTTGTCCTCAGGTTGAACGAACAAGAATTAAAAATTATCAAGGAGCTGGGAATGAGGGTGCATGTCTACAGTCTGAGCTACTTGTGAGGCTGAAACAAGACAATCAAAAGTTCAAGGCCAGCCTGAGCTAATGAGTTCAAGGACAACCTGACTCACACAGTGAGACAGTCTCAAAAAACAAAATCAATATAAAAAAAGGGCAGGCGAAAAAACTGTTTATGATGCACCAGGTCTTGCTCTAACCCCTCATAGCATTAAAATCAAGGAAAACATACTGCCTATGAAAATCTCAAAAGTATGTTCGATGTGTAAGATTTATAAAATCATACTATTTTCTATGTTCATTTTATTTTTTAAAAAAATCCACAAATTTGGTAACATACTGATTTGTGAATTATTTGGGAAATACCTTTCTCCTGGCAGTATACTTGAACACAATTATAATTAGATAAAATCCAACCACATAAAAAATAATACATCCTTTCTTTCACTCTGATGTTTCTAGGACTTTACACTTATACAATGACATATGCACAGGGTTATTTATTGCAGTACTGTTTAACAGCGAAAGATGAGAAAACAACATAAATGCCTACCAAGGGGGTGCTTGTTAATAAGCCATTGTATATTCATTGATATAATAAACTATTATATGGTGGTAAAAAACAGGAAAAGTTTTTTTTTTTCTTTTAGAGATAGTGTCTCACAGTTCACTTCACATTGGCCTTGAACTCAGGTTTTTTTTTTTTTTTTTTTTTTTTTTATTTAGCATGGGGTCTACAGGGTCTCACTACAC